CCCCTTCAACTGAGTAAAGGTCTGGTCACATTTTACAAAATTTTGCTGGCAAAAAAGTGTCTATTGTCTGTTGTCTAAGAGCGAAATTGAGCCGATCGTGTGGATTCCTGTTGAAATTACTTTGCCCACAAAATTTCGCAGCAACAATAATTGTGACCACACCCTAATTGTGGGTAAATCCACTGTAAGTGCTAATCATGGGCGACATTAGGGGGGGCAAGTTTAATTAGGCAAATTGTTAGTCATGGAATCCCTGATGTCGGCCCCGCTGCAATTGGAGCGCTTAGCCAAGCGCTAAATACCCTCAACGTGTTTCTGCAGCGTTGAGCAATGTAACCAATCACAGACATATCTGTTGATTTCTTAAACGCAATGGCCAATCAGAAACGTTTTGCCAGAATTCACTCACCGCTGAAAGCGCCGCAGTTTTTAAGTGCAGTTTTGCACACTTGTGAATCATCTCATGACTAAGTGCAGACGCGATGTAAATAAGAGATTCATTGTGCAGTTTAGAGCTTCATTGATTATAACGGAACTTTGTAAGATCGCAATGAACAAAGATGAGTGACGCTTTTTAGTGTTAAAGGGAGCGCGCTTTGCGCACTTTCTAGGGTATAATCCATTCAGAATTTATTTGAAACTTTTGTTTTTCGGACACATAGGCTACACCCTGCAAAGTTTCGGGAATGACATCCGCATATTTATGCGGGATTCACTCTCGAAATAGCAGTGATTGGCAATGGACGGAACATAAAATATGTTGATTTAATTCTGGAACCGGTCCTGACCAAACCTCCACAGACAGCGCACGTCCCGAGCGAGATCTAATTCACGGACCAAAAGTGTGTGTAAACTTTATTGAGATCGGGACATATCATCCAGTAATTTAATTTAATTTCCAGTAACGGACGGTAGAAATTTCAGCAATTAATGTATGCGATTTATGAGAGAATATAGTCCCACAACTGATCGTTTATATTTTCCTCACGTGTCTCGCCTTTGGTAACATCAATTAAAAATGGAAACATTTCAAGTGACATGGGAAAAAGACAGAAAACTTCAGTGAACATGAGAAAAGCACCATGCACATTTCTGGTTAAAAATGAAAGGCCATCAACTGACAAACGGTTCTCGGGTATAAACTTAATCCATTCAGATTTTGTATGAAACGTTCGGTTTTCGGACACATAGGCTATGCTACACTCTGCAAAGTTTCGGGAATGACATCCGCATACTTATGCGGGATTCACTCTCGAAATAGCAGTGATTGGCAAAGGATGGAACATAAAGTATGTTGAACCGGTCTTGGCCAAACATCCACAGACAGCGCGCGTCCCGAGCGAGATCTAATTCACGGACCAAAAGTGTGTGTAAACTTTATTCAGATCACGACATATCAACCTGTAATTTCATTTCATTTCCAGTAATGGACGATAGAAAGTTCAGCAATGAATGGTATCCCACAACTGATCGTTTATTTTTTCCTCACGTGTCTCGCCTTTGGTAACAATGATTCAAAACGGAAACATTTCAAGTGACACGGGAAAAAGACACGGAAAACTTCAGTGAACACCAGAAAAGCAGCTTGCACATTTCTGGTTAAAAATGAAAGGCCATCGACTGACAAACGGGAAGCATCACCATTCAAGTCAGCAGGAAGAGCCAAAGCTAGTCCACAGTTTACTAAACAGTGGCAACCTCTTTAAGTTATTCTTGACTGTGTTGGATTGACTGCTTT